AAAGACGCTAGGGATGGCGGGTTCTATAATTAAACACACGAGGGATCTATTTGTATAACGGCCATCCGAACCGGTATCATTAAATATCGACCGTTGGATCTTGATCCAATGAGCCAAAACAGATCAGGCGGGCGGGGGCGAAGAAAACAACGGCTGGCCGGAAAAGACAGCATGGTGGCGCCATTGCCGGCGACGGAGCTTGGCGGCAAAACCCAAAACGACCCTACGGTGCACGGTTTTCGATGGAGAAGACACGGGATGATAGAGGAGGTCGAGGCGAACTTACTACGGCTGATCATGGCAGCGGAGAAGGCACGGAGGCGACTCGGCGGCGTCGAGCTCCCCATGGCGGATCCGAGGCTGCGGAGGTAGAGCATAGAGCGACACTAGAGCTCGGCTCTAGGGTTAGGACGTGGGGCGCACGCAACCGGAAGAGGCGGGGCAGCGTGGAGTCCAGCTCGGGGACGACTGGAGGAGACGACTGGCAGGTGGGGACGACCTGTCAGTGGAAAAGAGACGGAGGAGCGCGCACCTCAGCTGCTTTCTGCTTGAAAGCAGGCCGAGCTTGGGGCTCTTGATCGGGCCACGGCACAGGTGTGACGCGGCACTGCAGGCGCTAGACTACGGCTTGATAGGGCTCCGGCCCAAGCGAAAGAAGGAGAGGGAAGCGGCCCGAGAGGATGGGAGTCTTGGGCCGACTAGAACAATATGATGTAGGGGCGGGAGCGAGCCTATGGGCGAAAGCGGAGGAAGGAAAAATAGAAAGGAAATTCATTTTTTTTCTAATACTTTTTCAAATGGATTTCAAATTCATTTGAACCTTGAATCAAAACCAAATTTAAATATTATTTAAATATACTTTCAATTCAAAGAAAACTTAAAATTTTTGGTAAGCTTTCCAAGAATAAATTTTACATCTTTTTAAATTCTTTTACTTTCAAATTTTCTTTTTCATTCTTTTCTTTTACTTCAAATCCATGTTTAATTACAAAAGAAATTTTAACCATTTTGAATTTTTAATCAAAAACACTCAACCAAATACATCAAATACAATGGCATGTATGCACAAACACGTTGCTAAACCTTATAATGAATTTTAATTTACTAAAAATTTTATTTTCCTATATTTTATGAGCACAAAATTCCAAATTAAATCATTTTAGCTCTATTTTCAAAAATTCAAATTTTATGGTGTTACAATTTTTCTCCATGGTATAATATGCAATCATTGGAACACGCGTGGATTTTTTTCAACCTCGAGGCCGATGGGGTAGATCATTTGCTTGGCTAAGTATGTGTTTTCTGACGACTTGTTTTTTCCTAGGAGCATTTTTCTTATTATACCTCACAACTGATGGAAGCCTTTATCGCTCAATCTGTTTGTCAAATTGACTCTAACAGCATGATGTCGGCTTCTAGTTTGCTCGTTGGACAATTCCTATGCAATGGTGTTTTGCCATCTTATCTTATTTTCTCTAGCTTTCTCAGTTGTCTTTCACTAAAACATCTGGTCTCTACATTACGTAGCAGCTGAGAAATATCATCGTTATCCTCGGTGTCGTCAGCTAGCGTGTTTCTAAACACATTATTAACCGTGGCCATAGGTTTCGTGTTGACACCGGGTTCCTCGTCAGCATCATGGATGGCTACGTCAGGCATGTCCACATCATCATCGTTTTCCTGTAGAACATTCACACCAACCTCGTCATGCATAGTTCATATCATATAGTTTGGCATGAACCCCCTGGTAATCAAGTGCGATCGTATAGACTCAATTTGATAAAAGTTCCTTTGATTCTTGCAATATTTGCATGGGCAGAAGACATGGTTCCCAATCCCAGCATGGGCTTTGGCATCGGTGATAAACTGGCTGACACCATGCATGCATCGCTTGTCCATTCGGGACAGATGCATCCACTCTCAATCCAACTCTGCACAAAAAAATACTGAGACAATAATTACAAAGAATTAATAAGAAATCGAGCTTCATGAACAACAATTGTAGCTCGAAAGTACCATTTTTGGAAAACATTATTGTACATTAATTATTGGAAAATTGAAATTGGTAGCCCCGACCCTGTAAATTGAAAATCGTAGTAAAAAACAATTATTGCACAATAATGAAGAACAACTATTCTACTCCACTTCTAAAAACTAATTATAGCATCACATACTAACAATGATGATCCTGACCACCATGGAATAATTAGCTAGGAATTTAAATGTGTTCGTAGACACCAACATTTTGGATGATGGATTCACCACAATTTGAGCATTGCACAAATGTCCAATTGGAAAAGTGCTCTCTAGAATGGAGAAAGAACTAGAATGAGAATCAAGCAATGTAGCTATCAAAACGAAGCTAATTAAGCAACAAAATCAAAGGAGTGGATGTTTGTTACTAACCTTAAAGCAAAAAGATCAAGCTATTCTTCAAAATCCAAGCGCTAGCTTCATAGTGAAGAGCAGCCACAACATTGGAGGGAAGGGCCCAAACGCCCGCCACTGTTCTCGGGATGGAAGAGAGGAGGAAGAAGAGGATGACTGTAGCATTTTTGTGTTGTAGGCTTATCACCGTCCGTTCTTAACAAGAAACGACAGTGATAGATCCAAATCACTGTCTGCTCTTGGCTTGAACCGGCAGTGATAAGTGGCCACCAAAACACTACCGGTTCAAGCCACAAACCGACAGTGATGTGGTCCTTCACTGCCGGTTTTAGCCTAGCCCTAATCATTTTCTCATTTTCAAGCTCATAACCGGCAGTGAAGGTACATCACTATCAGTTCTCACAAATCCGGCAGTGATGAGGCTGGCAGTGATGTCCAAATCTGTAGTAGTGTCTTAATCCGAACTAAATCTATCTATCCTTAGTTGTGATATATACTCTAACAATGTGGGCTGGTACTGGAATGAGCATACTCATAGGATTTGTCGTCATATGAAGAATAGACCAATTAACAATAAAACCTACAACAACCTTGTTTTTAAGTCCTTATGATGAGAAACCATTTTTTTCTTACAATGAGTTCTAGACGTTTTTGATACATCATGTGTGCTATACCACAAATAAGGAATGGTGTAGTTATCTAGCACAAATGACAACCGTGTGAAAGGGGATAAAGAAAGATTCATATGACATATTGATATGTTTTCCATTAAGAGAGTGTTTAATAACCTAACATCATGGTTCCACTCCCTCGACTCCCCTACAATCATTGTTGAGTCAAACTTCTTTGGTTTTGACCAGGTTTACAGAAAATAAACAAAATTCTATAACTTTAAAGATGTTTTATTTGTTGACCCAGAAAATATGAACCGCTTGAGTTCTATTAAAACACAGAAGCATTTATGATAGTTTATTCGTTCCAACTTGTAGATGTTAATATAATTTCAATAAAAGGTTATTCAAAGTTGCAGAAGACATAACAAAGTACTAATTACTGAGACATGTGATGACTATGTGAGTATGTGACACACTGCAAAAGATTAGTATGTCCTGGACGGGTCTCATTATTCTTTTTCTTCTATATGATGCAGGCAGATATGAGTGTTGAGCTCACCATAATGCATCGTCGTCACAGTAGAACATGGGTTTACCTCGAGACTAAATGAGCAGGGGTTCAACATGGTTGGTTGAAGGAAATAAACAATATATATTGTACGTGATCAATTTCTAAGGAGCTTAGGATGAGAGGCTTCCAACAAAGATTGGTTCGGATCAGGTGACCAATAAACATACGCGTGTCGTGCAACATTTTATGGTGGTGATCAGTACTAGCAACCATATCCATAGCAGTTACCCATCGGATGGGTATGATGCCTATATGTTGTGTATGTGTTTACACTCTACAAATCCCTGACATCAATACACTGGAATTTATTCCCTCTACATTTTGTGTCTCTTGTCTCTGCTCTCTAGTACATTTACTTTCAAGAGACTTGCTTGGGTGTGTATTTTGCACAAATATTAAAGCAAACTTATAATTAATTATAATTTGTTCGATAATGTGTTTTCTTTGGGCCCGGCCCTATCCATGTACTCAATCCAATCGTAGCTGCAGGCCCGTATTTGTGGATCTTCACCATCCAGTTACCTTGTATGCCTCTAGCTTTTGTTGTTTCATTCAATTGCTTGGTGGGTATAGTATGGACGACGGACGGCTGGCAGGGTAATAACACCACATTTGATTTATTCTAAAATGAAGAGGCGGTAATTATTAGTGATGGAAAACAGGATCTACAAAGATAATTAAGAAGGCCTTTGTTGATTTGTATATGCATACATGCATAGCGTTCTTCTCTATGGAAGTCGCCATTGACCACCACGTGCGCGCACGGTCCTCGGTTCGATGATGTACCGCCGCCGCAATGTCGCCCGTCGTCCATGTGCCGCCGACCATCTGTCCCTACACCACCGCAGCTGCCCTCCGTCGTCCGCAGTGAGAGCAACGCTAGCATGCTATTAAATGAAAGGAACAAAGCGAGCAGCACCACTGCATCCTGCGCTACATCTTGGCTTCATTTGGGTGTGGGTATGGTCAGGCCCAATCCAGACCCATAATGAATATAATTATAATTAATTATTAGACTACTTTAGGACCTGTTTGGTAGTATTGTAATCATTTTCACATGTAAAGCATTTCCCCTTGTAATTTCATGTGCACATGACTACCGTTTGATTTTTTTTGCCAGCCGAAAATGTTGTTTGTTAAGAGCCATGGATCGCCGCCATAGACCTTGACAGCGGAAAATTTTGGAGCACAAGCGCGGGAAGGAGGTCAGCAAGTCACGCTAACCAGCAGCAGCAGCAGCACCACCACCACCGCGCGATGGCGTGCATCAACATGTACAACCCTGACGGCGCCGCGGGGCACCGCCGGCTGCGCTAGGCCCGCACATCTCCTTCATTCTCCAGCGACTTCACGATCGAGCTGCCACTGCCGGTGCAGTCCAGGAGGAGGACCTCAACTTCGAGTTCTCGGTGGGCAGCCACCCCATGATGGCGGCCGACCAGCACTTCTCCAAGGGCAGGACAACAACAACTGCGACGCCAACCACGCTGCGCGACGAGCTCCGAGGCGGCGGCGCCAGCCATGACGACGAGAGGGCCTCCTCTGTCAGCAAGGGGTCTAGTCGGTGGAAGGAGATGCTTGGCCTGCGGAAGGCGCTCTGCGTCAGCAGCGGTGGGCAACGGCCCTCTGGCCAGGAAGGCTAACTGCAACAAGCAGGGCGTCACCGCCGATGCTGACATGGTCACCGACGACGACATGCATGGCCGCGTCCAATCAGGTTGGCATCTGCGATGACGAGACTGATAACTGTCGTAAAAAAAGTGTGGCCTCGGGAGATCTGTTTCCTTTTCCGGATGTAAGAGCCTAAACCAGTTGTAACTGTATTATGAAAACTGATCATCCAAACAGTATTTTCCCTGCCAACATGTATAATTTTCCATGCCTGTATTTTACAACAAGGGTATTAGGCTTAAAACTTTTCATCCAAACAGGTGCTAAGGGTCCATTTGGTTGAGCTACCTGTTAGCTATGGAAAAGTTGTTATGAGCTATGCAAAAACTATTGTGAGCTATGTGTTGTAAAAAGTTATACGTTATTTGGTCGAAACAAGTGTAAACTTACACGACCCCTCTCTCTATCTCTCTTAAAAAAGATGTGAAAGAGCTCTCTATTTCCACCAATTTCGAAAAGTAGAAAGCAAAACTAATTTACATATCGCTAATGCTCGGGCTCGAGCATCCGTCTGTTCGGACGCCGAAAAAAATCCCACTCCACGCTCCGGTGCTCATCCGCCTGGCTTCACCACGCTGTGCGGTCGTCCGCCCGCCCCACTCTACCTCGCCGCCATGGCCACCCCCCTATCACGCCCCAATCCCGCTCTCCCCATTCTCGGCCTCCACATCTCTCAGTCTCTCTCTCGCGTCTGCTGGTAGCAGCAGATCCCCGCGCCACGACCTCTGCCTCCTTCCTCCACGCAAGACGACCATGCTGCCTGCTCCCTCAGTTCATGCAGTGCCTCCCCAGCCCCTTCCCCAATCCCAGCGCCGCCGGGATGCCTCGCTGCCACTGCCCCTACCGATGGTCGCTAGGCGCACATGCCCGGGCACCTCAAGTTGTCCCCGACCGAGCCAAGGCCACCCACGAGCGCGGCCGGTGATGGTGGTGCTCGCACGCCACCACTTGCCGCCGACTCCCACCCTGATGGCCGGAATCGACGGGCCCTGGCCTCCCCTCCGCAGGCGATGCCGTGTTTCGTGTATGTTGCAAGCGTATGTTTTATGTTGCAAGCATATGTTTCAAGTGTTTTAGTTGTTTCAAACGTATGATTCAAGCGTTTCACCTGGATGTTGCAGAAGTAGATCTATATGTTGCATAACATGCATGTTGCAAAGCGTATGTTTTAAGTGTTTCAGTTGTTTCAGATGTATGTTTCAAGTGTTTCATCTGGATGTTGCAGAAGTATATATCTGGATGTTGCATAACATGCAGTTTTAAGTATTTTTGGTGTTTCATACGTATGTTGCAAGCGTTTCATTTGGATGTTGCAAGAGTAGATCTAGATGTTGCATGTATTGCTATGGCTATACACACATATTTCAAGAGTATATTTCAAGTGTTTCATATGTTTTTACACGTATGTTTCAAGTGTTTCATCAGGATATTTCAAAAATCGATCTAGGATAGCACAAGTTGCAATGGCGTTGGTGGCTGGTGGACAGTGGCCTTCCGCAGCCGCCGGTGTTGGGGCGTCGTCATGGGTCACTGTGCGGGTACCTGAGGCCGACAGATGCCTCCGCGACGCGCATCCGTAGGTGGGGCAGGTGCCTGGGACCGGTCCCCACGTGTATGCAGGTGCACGTGACAGAGGAGGCACGGGAGAGGAGCTGCAGCGGGCTCGGGTGGTCCCTGTGTACGCATGGGTGTGGGTGAGTGAACCGTTGGAGTTGCGGCGTTTCGCGCGGGCACACGTGAAGGAGGTGGCGCGGGAGGTGCGTCCAAACGCATCGTTGGTCCGGACGTCCAGGCACTAGCCTTCCGCACAAGAAAAGAATCATTACTCAACAGACCACATATCTAACCCACGCTTATGTTTAACTATGTAGATTTTCTTCCTCTGATCTCAATGTCATTTAATGATGCTATAAAAGGTCACTTAACGATACTGAAATATGGATGATCATATTAATGCTAAACAAAGTGTGGCGTCTTATGGCTGTTTGAGTCCATCAACTCTTTCAAGATTCTGTGTACATCCGGCCTTAGGTCTGATCTCTTCTCGTAATGATTTTGTACATCCTTAACTCTCATTTGTCAAAGTCACTTACTAACTACATAGAACTATGGATGCCAATATAATGATAAACTAAGTGAGGCGTTTCTCTGATGTTTGAATTCATCTCAAATAAGTGATTTTGTCTTTTTTGTGGTTGTTAACTGTAGCACCCGGTTTTAAGGACAAAATTAGATACACTCCATATGTGAGCCCAGAAAGTCAAATCTCATATATAGCTACAAATAAGGGTAATATCAATAGACAATGCTCAATATATAACATACTTAGTATAAAGGATATAACCTTAAATAGCAAACAGCAGAAAAGACAACTTCGATCTTCGAGGGAAGACTCCAATTCCACAGGGACAACTGACTAGTTGATCACAAGTCTAATTCCTCCAAACTCTAGTAATCTGGTACCCATCCGAGATTTTTCCAAAGATTTAAAAAGTAAAGCAAGCGTAAGTACATGTCATATTCAACAAATATAACATGGGGGTCATGAGGCTCAAAAGGCTGACACTGGTTTAACTCCGATTAGCTTTTAATGAGTCATCTTTTAGCAATAGGGTGGCAACAAGTTTATTCACAAGCCCATATAAACACATGATCAGGTAAACATGAATAATGAATATCATAAGCAGTAATCATTAGTGAGCATCTTCATCATCAGTATCATCAGTGTTCATCTATTCCGTAAATGTTTCCAAGGCCGCTCGTGACCGTGAGCACGGCTGATATACCAGTTTTACACTCTATAAAGGTTGTACACTTTCACTGTGAGTTGTGATTTATCCTTTCGCCCGAGGTAGCTAATCTCTTGACCCACTTCCAAGGAAGGTCGGCAGGGTTCACTATGAAGCCTTTCAAAGGTTCGTCTAACAAGTTAGAGCCATTAGTTCACTCGACAAACAGATATAGGAACCCCCTATCGAATGGCACAATGATACACAACCTATACACATAAGAGTAGAGGATGTCCTATACCCGATTTGTCAAGCCATTCTTACATCATAAAGGTAAGCTCTATCAAGCTAGAAAAGGTCCTCATACTGAGCTAAAGCCAGAGCCATATAGCCCTCACAGTTGTACTGTAAGTCCCAGATGTTCGCTTACAGATAAGTCCTTAAGGAGAGGAATCTAGAGCACCATAAAAATAGCCTAATGCTCTAGCCCCCTAATTCCATGTTGCTAAAAAACATCTTTTAGTGTTTATTGCATATACCATTTGTTAAGTTATAAGATCATGGTTTCAGTTGAGCACTAGCATCATACTAACCAATGCAATACCCCATGGGTGACAAGGTACGAGGTAACAAAGTACTAGAAAATTCTTAGTGGCAGTCAAGGTAGACACATGCAGTATGAATTAAATGATTAAAGGTGTATAGGACAACAAGGAAGATCCCATGCTATACTTGCCTTAAAACTCAGATCATTCTTCTACTGAATTGTAACCTCTAAAAGACTTCTTCTGGATCACCAACTTCTTCTATTTCATCGACGTACTTCTCACCGACGGGACATGATCATAAAGCACCACACAAGCATCCATGCAATCATACACGAAGCAAACAATAGATCTAACTTAAAACAGTATACCAAACATAAAATCAAGATGAAAAGTTTGTAAAATGAATCTACGTCCCGCTACGAACACACAGACGCAAAAAACACTCTAATTGGAACTATAACGAAGGAGTTATAAATTAAACAAGATTTCCTTTAATAAAATAATAGATTAAATCTAACATTGAGTTTTCAAAGTTGAAAATATATTTAGTAGGATAAATATGTAGATTACGCAATTACGAATCTAATACAACTTGAACGGGTCAAATCGGACTTAAAATGGAGAAGTTATGGCCTAAAGAAAACTAGTGGCAAAACTGTAAATAGATGAAAACGTATTTTGAATCTACTAGAAAGAAACTACGCTTTCGGAATAGAAAAAAAATTCTGGAAGTGTGCCATGGACTGCGGGTTATATTACGTGAAACTACAGGGGCTCTTTTGCAAATAAACCCGGCGAGTACGGGCGATCTTGGACCGTTGGATTGAATCGGGACGGCCCAGATTAGAAAGGAGAGGGAGAGAGACTCACCGGCTAGAGAAGAAAACCGGCGCGGCAGAGCTCTATTACCCGGAGCGCTTGGTTTGGGTCCTAGAGGCCACGGTTTGACAAGCCAAGAGCACAGGGAATAAGAGAAGACGGCGAACTCACCTAGGGCCTTCATGGGGTCGACGGCAGATCTACGGCGTCGGGCAGCGCGGCGGCGACGACGACGGCGAGAGAAAGAGGAGAAAAATCTAATTTATTACACGAGGGATTTTCCAAACTAGGGGCTCTCTTATGGTAGTTTTGGTGTGCTTTGCCCAAGGGGTCGGTACATATTTATAGGGAGAAAAACTCCCCATATCTACATCAACTAGCAATATGGTACTAATTAATGCTGCACCCTCCACATTTACTAATGGACCTAAATAATCATTAAAGCTCATTAGTAAATAAATGCATGGGCCTTTGAGATTTATTAGGATTATTGCACATGGGCTTTGAGAGTTGGTTGGAAAATGAGATATATTATTTATTTTCGGAATTAATTAATTTCACGAATAAAATAATTGTAGAAAAGTCCAGAATTGATATTTAAGCCATGAAAAATACTCCGAGACCTCCGAAAATTTGGAGAAAATTCCTAGAGACACTTTGGAACATGATGAACCCAAATAAAGTATTTGGAGCTCATAAAAAGATTGTTGGGAACTTGGAACATAAAGATTAAGGTGAAGGAGGTAGGAATTAAATTTCAGAAAGAAGCTGATAGATATTCGTCTCCTAAACGTATTTAGAAAAAACACATTTTGCATATAGAAACACAAGGTGCGACCGGCATGAATGCAACAAACACGTTTCTACCTTAAGATAAATTAGAATCTAATGAAAATTTATTATTTTTCCATATTTTCTTGAGCATAAAAATACAAAATTAAATCAATTTAGCTCTATTTAAAGAGAAGCAAATTTTAGGGTGTTACATTAACTTGTGGATCTGTGGATAATAATTTACCGCTGTTTGTTCAGTCATTGGCAGCAACCTTTTGGTCCCTGTGATTGATTGGTAACCAATTTTTATTGAGGACAGGCTAATTCCTCAATTAGTTAATGTATTTTTTATCTTGCAGCACCGGATGTGGCCCCTACGAATATAGGGGAGGGACCAGGTGCAAGTGTACCGAGTGCATGAAGAGCTAAAGTTTGTGGTCAAAGAATGAAGTGTCTGGTGGTCGTCATATGCGACGTATGTAGGTTTCGGTGCTGGGAGAGCTATTTTGCTTATCATCATTTTGTATGTATGGCATTCGTGTTTTCTGCATCTTTGTGTAAGGAATGGTCAGTAGTCGCCCATTGCCCTAGAAATAGCAGTTTGCTGTCTAAAGCTGGGCTTGTCTGTAAGATGGTGAGCCAAGCGGCATCATGCTCTATGTGGTTCAAAACTTGACGCTGCAGTCAAGAGCTTGAATTAATATAAATACTCTTGTCTGAAAGTACTGGTGCTCAAGAAAACCAGCTAGTTATCTTCTATTCCATGCGTGTGGATTTAGTGCAGTAGTTTGGCTCAGCTTCTTGTCACTTGAAATTTCTTGGATTACTACTGAGACTTTGTCTAGAGAGCTACTGAGACTTATTTGTTGAACTTGAACTGTGTGGACGAATTATTTACTGAACCTGAGAACGGATATGGCCCATATGTAACAATCATGGATCGACATGTCCAGACACAAGAAGAGGCTGGTAAAACGGGAGGGAGGAGTGGAACCAAGAACTGGAGACTGGAGGAGTGCAACCAAGGAGAAACAGGTCGGTGGCTGCTTGGAGCCTCCGCTGGCATCAGAATTACTAAACACTATTCAATATTTTGAGTTTTTTTTTGCCTTCCCCCTAAAAATTAAAGTGACTTATTTACATCTGTAGTGGCATCTCCTACAGCCCCAAGATAGGAGGGTTGAAGCAGGAAACTATCAGCACCTTTGGTTTACAGGATGGATCGATGCAGAATGATCTGATGCATCCATCACGGTCTCACGGCACCTTGCTGGATGAGTACATTCCAGAAACCAAACACATTGTACGCTAAGGAGCTGATCCGAATACAATACAAGGCCCTCTCTCATCACAAGTAATGGTGAGCTTTCCCACAAATCCGCCAAGCATTAAGATTGAATCACATTATCACACTTTTAGAATCTTTCAATCGACAACAACAATTTTGATCCTGACACTTATGATAGAATTGCATTCTGACAGACATATAATATATACCATGTGGAGACATTATGAAAATATTATTTGTGGATAGTAACAGAGGTCCGAAACGAGACAGAGCTAGAAGTTTACACATTCAGCATTCCAACAGAGAAAAACTGAACCTACACATGCAGCTCAGGAAAACACATGGTCAGACACGTCACTTTCAGGATACAGTTTAAAAGCTTCAGCAATTCAGGTGACACTGAAACTCCATGGACTAGGACAACCAATGTGTTTTTTCCAAGGTTTTCACCGTAACTGAGACCTCACCAACGATTCACTGAAGGTTTCAACTGCAAAAACTGGGAGCATCTCCCCTCAGTCATACATCAGCATGTTCACATATTACTTAGTTTTATTTACATCTTATAATCCTCTTCAGTGGTGTTACCCTCCTCCAAGCGGCGTTACCCTCCTCCAAGCTCGCAGGGGTTGATGACTGAACAGCAAATCAAATAATGCACATATAAGTTCTAAAATAACTAAACAAAGGGCTGTCAAACAAACACAATCTGTCAGTTAGTAACAAACTAAGTACATTTATAATTTTCGAATGTCATCAATTTAGTATCACTCTAGTGCACAACAAACCAAAAAACCCTCAATCTAACTTTCAAATGCAATGTAGTGCTTAACATCATTTGCCTACTTAGATATACCAGAGCGCTCCTAGTTTTCACAAAACAATGTCATTGCAGCAGTGGGATGGAATTTCTCACATGAGTATTTCATTCCACAATGTCAAAACTATCCCCACAGCCCCATCAGAAACGGGACCCTTTGCCAATGAGCATTCAACATTTTGTCGACATTCAAGGTTTCTATGTTATAATATGAATATGGACTTTCTTATCATCGGCAAATAACCATCTGCAAACAGTGCTCCAGGTTCTCAAAGAAGAAGCCTCTACTCAATAGAGTAGATAAAGTTACCTACTGCCAACATGCAACTACTACTTTTATTCAAGACACTATTTACTATATTCAAAATGCATGCAACTTTTTTTGAAATAAACTAACATTGAAATTTATTTACTGGAACTGAACCATACCACCATTGTCCGTTACAAAAATGTATAAACAAGGTCGAAACTATTGCTTGGGCAACCTTGCTCATGTCAAACAGGAGCTGAACTATAGAGTCAACTTTCAGGAAAGTAAGGCACATATGCAATATAACACCATTCCGAAAAGAATTTGCTAAGCATGGATTGAATAATAAAATAAGCCAAAAAAGTAGACCTCAAACATAAGTTCATCATTCATGATAAAGAAGAATTTGAAAACAACTATAATTGACAATAATAACTTATTAGATGGACAACACTTATTCAGTTCAGACAGCAGCTACACCATACAGATGGAGATCTGCAGAACAGAGAAACAGAGTGCACATATATTCATTTCCATGTGGCTGCATTAAGCTTGATAGCATAGACAAATCATAGCTTGACCCATATAAGTGAGACTACTATCTATTAAAATTCTGAGCAGAAAACATAAATGATATTTGAGCCAGATATCTGACTTTACTGGATTAGTCAGATAATTCCCTCGTTCAGGTTCAATTAAGATCAATTGCCGAGCCCCCATCATTCGTCCACAACATGTATAATAGATGCATAAATTCCTAGGCACGTTTTTTTTCCATCTCGTAAACATCCAATCACTACCGCCCTATTCCAAACTCCCAATATACAATGCAGGTGTTGATGATTGAGTAGCAAATCAAATAGTGCATTTCGGATAACAAAACATATGTCTATCAAACAAATAAAATTTAGGAAAAGTAGCAAATTCAGTGCTTTTAATATGAGTAAATTAACATCGCTCTAGTGCACATTAACTTTTCAAATACAATGTGTGAAATAAAGCAAGTTTTAGTGCTCAGCATTATGCGCCAACTTTGTAGTAGATGCTCCTAATTTCCACAAAATATTGCCATCCCAGCAGTGTGATGCAACTGCTAACATGGATAGTATCGTTCCACAATGTCAAATCTGTCCCCACAGCACAGTCATAAAAGTGAGCAACAAGAATTCAACATTTTGTCAAATTCATGTCTCTGTCTTCTAACAGTGCTCCAGGTTCTCACAGCAGAATCCACTGTTGACAGACTAGTTAGATAAAGTTGTGATAACTGCAATGAAATGGCTACTACAACAGTACAAATACCTAGAGATCATAAAACTTCGCAGTAATGCCAACATGCAACTACTACTTTTATTCAAGATGTTCTTCAGCTTATACACAACACATGCATGTTTTATTTTTTTATTTTTTTTAAACAACTAGCACTTAAACTTTTTTACTGGAACTGAACCATAACCCCATGTCAGTTCCAAAAATGTAAGAACAATGTTGAAACTACTACTTGGGCAACAATGCTCATGTCAAACAGGAGCTGGAGGCAGTTATATACAATATAATATAAAATTCCCAAAAGACCCTGGCAAGCATCAATTCAATGATAACTCCAATAAGCCATAAGTTCATCATTTGCAAAAAGAATTTTAAAACAACCATGATTGACCACAAAAACTTACTTGGTGAGCACTTATTCAGTTCAGACAGGAACCACACCATACTGATGAAGATCTGCAGATCAAAGAAACAAAGTGAATACAAATTCAGTTCCAAGTGGCTGTATTAAGAATGATAGCACAGACAAACAATAGTTTGATCCATATTAGCTGCACTATAAATCGTAAATGCTCAGCAGAAAACATAAACGGTATTTGAGTAAGATATGTGATTTTATTGGATTTGCAAGATAGTTTCCTAACTCGATCAGCTTAAATTTAGATCAATTGCCAGGACCCAATCGTCCATCAACAACATGTAGAAAGATGAACAAATTACTACGCAGATCGTGCAAGCTTCAAGGATGCCATGAAACAAAGTTTAGGTAGCAGTAAAAAAAGTTCTACAGATACTTCACTTCCATAAACTCACTGTTCATAAGCACACCATTCTCAGTGTTTTCATGTTGCTAAATTGACCGTTACAAAGTTCTTGAAATTGGCAAATCACAGACTAAGCAAAGCTGTACCTGGAGTGTAGAAGCTCATGTATGGAACGAGAGCATAGGTCCAAGCATTGCAGTACACCAGTTCCCTCACCCGTCCAGACTTTAGATCAATACTGAACCAACCATCCTCTGTCCCAACAAAAAGGACCTCAACGCCAGGTGCAAAGGCAACACAATCATTATTAATGGAGCCTGCATCAAATCCGAGCTCAATGGATCTGACTGGTACCCAAAAATCATCTCCCTGGGGGTCAGTCTGCATTGAGCAGACCCAGAGCGTAGATCTCTCCACCATTGCAAAACCCAACCCACCATCTCCCATCGTCATGAGCACCTTAAAGTCCGAAACGAAATTGGGAGGCAAGTGGATCACAGACATATTCCGTGTGGCCAAATCGTACTTCAGAATGCTGTTGGTCGCATCAATCAGGAAGCAGAGTGCATTACCAACAAGGGCACTAGGAACCATTTCAATCCCATCTTCTGGGGACGGAGGGCCATAACTAGGCTCGCTCCAGGCGCCAGCCTCCGACGAGTAAACGTGCACACGCATCTTCGCACCGTCGGCGTCCAGGAAGACGACGAGGAAGGGCCCGCGACGGCAAACGAGGTGGTCACACGCGCCGTAGTCGGCGCAGACCACCGCTGCATTCCAGGTGATAGGTGAGGGCAGCGGCACCTCGGGGAGTTCCCGCAGCTCATCCGTGAAGGGGTCCCAAACCTCGAGCTCAGGATCCCAGGGCATGCTGGTGAGGAGGACGCGGCCGTGGCGGGAGTCGAGGACGCGGTGGTCGCGGTGCTCGGAGCGGCGCGGGCGGAAGGGGGTGGCGGGGGCGAAGCCGACCGCGTAGCCTACGTAGCCTACGAAGCAGTCGTCCTGGACGGCAACTTTCCGGTTGTCGAGGAAGCCGAGCATGGGGGCCGTGCGGTGGCGCTGGCCGAACCTTCGGCGGAAGCCTGGGGCGGACATGATACGGCACCAACTCCTGCATACGGTCGCGGTGCGGAGGAGGCTCACGGGGTCGCCCGGCGGCAAGTGGAGGAGGATCTCCTCAACGAGCCCCTCCACCAGCTCCTCCATCCGGCTTGGATGGACGGACTCCGGCGAGCGGCGGCGCGAGGGTACGGGCGGCGGGGGCGGCGGGGAATTGCGAGAACGACACGAGGCACGAGGGATTGTGGGGGAATTTCCGTTGGATTGAGCGGTGGCTCTGTTAAGTGGGGCCCAGGAGGCAGTGGCACTACATACTGATCGACTGTTTCCTCTTTTTCTGATGAACTGCGAGTACTGATAGATTGAGGAATTCATCACGGCACAGACTGTACAGTGGCACTCTGGCATGACAATGCATGTATTCAAAAATAGAAAAATGTAAGAGTATGTTTATTTTTTTTTCCAACCGAGGAACCTTCCCCATTTCCATTAGATCAACGGAAATACAGCCGTTCAGCATTACAAGAAGAGACAGATGAGTCTATATGATAAAATGAAGGAGCTAAGACTATTACATCACGACATCAAAAAGGCTATCAGAAGCCAGCCAAAAGTCTGAGACCAAAAGACTTCACAATCCGCATTCTCATCCCAGCAGGGACTCCCAAAGCTTGAAAGCTTGAGCAAAGTCGTCTTCTTCATGCTCCGACGACTCACCATCTTGCAGCAGCAACCTGTTAACCTGTCTTGCGGTTTGGGCAGCCAATATTTCCTTAGCCACTCTCAGCATTGTATTTGCTCCCTCCACCAGCTGCTCATGATCAAATTTTGCAAATAATCCTGACCAAAAAATCATAAGCGCGCAAGCGTGACATATTATTTCAAGAGGGCTATTTATAAGCTTCTGTTCAAAACAAACTTTGTTGCGAGATTTTCAGATTGCCCAACAAATAGCTGCAACACCCCAAGGATGGAATTGTTTACCGAAAGGAAACCACCTCTCACACCACTGCCAGCATTGCTCCAGATTGGAAGGAACATTCGTTGCCCCAAAACACTTAGCTACAATTGACCATATCACTTTGGCAACTGGACATTGAAAAAAGAGATGAGCTGTAGTTTCCACACAGTCACAGAAAACACAGTTAGGATCCCCTGCCATTTTCTTTTTCGCAAATTTTCTTTCGTGAGCACCGCATCCTTAGATATAAGCCACAGAAAAAAAATTTATCTTTGCCAAATTCAGAGCAAGATAAAGCATTATAAAGTGATTTGACAGTAATACTTTTGCCTAACTTCCATCCAACATTATCAGGTTCATGCCCAAGCTGAAAGCTACAAAGCATCAAGCCATATTTTGTCCCAGTCAGCTCTCTCTTAAGTCACCGAAGAGCCATCTTCTAAACGTTATATTGGTACCACTTAAAGCTCGAGCGACCAGAATATCTTTGCACTCACACAATTCAAAAAGGAAAGGAGCAGTTACACATATTGGATCTTTATATAACCAAGGGTCAAGCCAAAAACGAGTTTTTTCACCATTATTTATAGCAATCCCTCGGCCCTGTATATAAATGTGTTTCACTTTCAGAAGGTCATGCCAGATTGGGGAATCATTCAATCTATGTTTAACATCATGAATTGACTTATTTTGCATATATACTTGTATTTAACAATTTTTTGCCAGCGCCCTTCTTCTTTTTCCAGCCTCCACCACCATTTACATAACAGGCTTATATTCATTCTCCTCAAATCTTTGATACCCAAACCACGCTGTTTTTTACTTTTACAAATGATCTCCCACTTGACAAGATGATATTTCTTTTTTGGTTCCACCTCCTTGCTAGAAAAAGGTTCTCCGAGTCTGATCCATCTTTTTGATAGTGGTTTTTGGGAGCAAATATATAGACATGTGGTAAATAGGGGAATTATTCAAACTAGAACTAATCAAAGTGGATCTACCTGCAATAGAGAGTGTCCCCCCTTTCCATACAACTAACCTCTTGTTCCCTTTATCAACAAAGGATGCCAGTCACATGCTTTCAGTCTGATAGGGCTGACTGGAACCCCCAGATATTTAATTGGAAAAAGGCCTATTTGACAATTGAAAATCTCAGCATATTTTTCCCCCAGTTCTCCTCATCATTGAGCATTATAACTTCACTTTTGTTAAAATTTATTTTTAAACCAGCAAGCACTTCAAACAAATAGAGCAGCAATTTCAAATGAACAACCCCCTGCAGATCATGCTTCAAGAAGATTATTGTATCATCGGCATACTGCAAAATGGCAACACCATTCGGTATAATATGACTAATTAAACCAGTAATCAAACCGTTTTCTTGAGCTCTATGTATCATTCTAGTTAAACAGTCCGCCACAAAGTTAAACAGGATTGACGACAGAGGATCACCCTTCCTTACCCCTTTATAACTTTTGATGTAAGATCCAATTTTATTATTTACCTTCACGCTCACTGTCCCTCCTGAAACAACATGCTTAATCCAGTGGCACCATTTATCTTCAAATCCTCTTTTTTCCAAACAAGTGAAAAGGAGCTTCCAATTCACTTTGTCATACGCCTTCTCAAAATCAAGTTTCAGTATAACCCCTACCTCTTTTTTCTTTTTAGTTTCATGTAAGATTTCGTGTAAGCACATAACTCCAGACATGACATTCCTATTCTTCATAAAAGCTTTTTGAGTACTATGAATTAACTTATCAGCTATAGGTTCAAGTCTGATTGTCAAAGTCTTTGTAACCACTTTATACAAGCAATTTAAAAGGCATATCGGACGGTATTGTTGAATCCTGGATGCCTCTTTGATTTTCTGCAGCAAAGTGATAATTCCGTAATTAAGCCTACTGATATCAACTTTATGATGGAAGACGTCCTTGAACATTTGGACAATGTCATCTTTAACAATAGGCCAACAGTTTTGATAGAACTCTATTGGGATCTTATCAGGGCCAGCCGCTTTATTTTTTCCATTTGCCAAAGGGCTTCTTTGATTTAGTTTTCAGAAAAAGGTTTACACAGTAATGCATTATCACTTGCAGAAACTTTTGGGATGTTCTCCCAAATGTCCGAATCCATCTGAACCTCATATTCAATGGGGGCGCCAAACAAATCAGCATAGTATTCAGATGCGTGTTTCAGTAAATTTTCATCTCCTTCAATTGTTTGACCCTCATTTTCCAGACTGATAATACAGTTTTTTCTTTTCCTGCCATTTGCACATTTGTGAAAAAAGGCAATATTGTTATCACCTTTGAGAATCCAAGTCCCATGGCTTCTCTCGTACCAATATGTTTCTTCTTGCTCAAAACTTTTTAAATTCTCACAAACCAACCACACTTTCCTATCAATTTGCTCAGCCGTCAGATCATTTGATTCCTCTAAAATTTCTAATGCAGCTAATTCATTTTGATATTCCTTTCTCTTTTTTCTTAACTCACCATGGAGGTTAAAACCCCAACCTTTGAAAAATTGCTTAAACAGTTTCAATTTTTGTTGGATCTTATCCAGAGAAGATTTTGCTCTACACGGTTTATTCCAAATTTTCACAACTAAAGGATAGAACTCAGGATTGTTAAACCAATTTAGATCAAACTTGAATTGTATGAAAGGCATGCCCACTTTTTTCCCAGAGGAGATAATCAAAGGGTTATGATCTAAAACTTCACTAGACAGTCTGTTCACCATGGCTTGGGGAAACAAATCTTCCCACTCTCTTGTTACCAAAATTCTATCTAGCTTTTTCCAGAATGGGATTTTCCTGATTATTTGACCATGTATACAAGCCCCCATTCATATATAATTCTCTTAATTTATAAAACTGAATCACATAATTGAAAAGGTCTGTGTGTTTATGTACACCATCCATGGTGTTTTTATCTTTAACAAAACGGATGAAGCACAAAAATGAGAACGTTCAGATAAAAAGGACAGTTTATTCTCCTCCTGGGCTGCACCATATACTGTTAACAAGTTCCATTTGATTTTCAAAACTTTATCCCACAAATTCATTTTCAACATGAATCCCCCCTGCTTAAAAGACCCTACATCAAATCTTTCTAACAGAATTGCTACTAAAATCCCACCCGATTTTCCTTTTGATGGGTTCCACATCCACAAATAATCTTGATTTGGATCAAATTTCCTCAGCAAAGAGTCATTACATTCAGGAATCATAGTCTCTTGAAGCCCAAAAAAAATGGAATTTGTATTCTAGAATGAGATTTTTTAAGAAAGTAGAGACTCCTTTCTTTTTCAAGCCTCTACAGTTCCAAAAAGGACTTGTATCATCATTTTTTCCTTTGTTTTTTTCTTTTATTCAGATTCACATGAATTTAACATTCCTGGAATCATGCAAGCCAAGATCTTCCTGGTCTTGCTTTCTCCCCCCTGGGAGACTTTACATTTTTTCTTACATGTTTTGGTTTGTCCTTTTGATTTCTGAATAACCAACATTTCTAAATCAGAGTCATCATCAGTAATTTCAACAATAACAGGAATATTTTCTTCAGCGGGATTGAACTCAACAGTCTCAACCTCAGTAATAATATTAGGTTTATTAACATGTTTGATAAGCAGGCAGTTTCTGGCAATATCTAAATCTTTAAGCAAATCAAAAGTGGCAAAATCACTATTATTAACATGCACACCAATATTCTTAGCAAAAGAATGTAAGCACTCATTATTAATCTAAGAAAGATTCTACGGCTTGGTGATGTTACTTTCTAGAGATCTCTTCTTACACCCTGATCGGTTGGCATGAAATGGCTTGTTGGGCTGGATGTGCTTGGGCTTATCAGCCCAGCCGTTCGGCAGCCCAGCCCCAGCCGAACGGCTGGGCAAAAAGCGATGCCAGGCACTGCGTGCCACTCCCTCCCTCCTCTTTTCCCCTTCGCTTTGCGTGGCTAGGGTTCTACCAGTAGTCTCGCCGCTCGTCCGCGTCTCTACGCGCGAGTCTCGGCAGTCATGACCACCGCGTCGCCGGGTCCCATCGTTGGTCAGCGGATCGGTCCCCGCCCGCCTCTGTACACCGTGACGTCGAGTCTCGCCATCGACAGCCTCGGTGACATTGAGCTCCGCCTCCCTCCCTGAACCAGCCTCCATCCATCGACTGCCTCCAGTAAGGTAC